AGCACTAACCACTATCAACCATTTGAGAATCAGTATCAATAATATTTTGAAGTCAAAAGCAGTTACCATTAAAATTTATATTTGGGAGATATGGTGCATCAAAAAAAGTGAGATTTGGATAAGGAATCTCTGTATGAACTGATTGATGGATGAAGATCCAGTCATACCCCGTGTTGGTGTTGAGGGAGAGAGATACGTTCATGCAAGATTTATGATTCATTGCCTGCATTTGTACAAGGTATTCAAAACAAAGCTGGTTATTGAACCGATTAAAATACTAGTTTAATAATTAATAGGTAAAATTATTGTGATTAAATTATAGTCAAACTGTTTATAAATAAAATGTTTAGTTAGGTTGAATTAGTCAAGAAATTACTTCAATACTTTATTTGTTCCACTAAACAGGTTGCTACAATTTTCAATGTTATATATCCAAGTGCAATAGGAGCAATACTTTACTGGTTCTGGACAATCACTCTATATGTTTTCTATCAATCTGACATTGTAAGGCCCATTACACAAAACATAATATCAACCTCTGTATACCTTTGTCCTTTATACGTAGGCGCATTTCTGTAATGGGCCAAACAAAAAGTGTCTTCCTTTTGGGGCCTTTTTTGCCCCAAGAATTTGTTTAGGGGGCTTTTTTTTCCTTATAAAAATGCATTTCTACTTTTGAAATATTTTTTGAGGTACACCCAACATCTTAATATTTTTATTAAAAATTTTACCTTAAAGTTATTAAAATAAAATATTTTATCCTTTTTGTTAAATTTTTTAACTATTAACATTTGAGGTCAACATTAAAAATTTGATGGAAAAGATAAAAATGCTCCATTTGAATAATGTTAAGGGCAAAATTGCTTCAACAAAAATACTAGAGTATTAGATGCTCATTAGAAAATATTGTAGGGCAAAAATGAACCTCTACCCTTTTTTTTCCCTCAAGAATTCCTCTAGGAGGCTTAATGTCTGCTAAACTAGGGGGAAATTTAATGGAGAAAAAAATCAAGATATATAAAGTGACTCCGTAAGTTATGAGCCTCATACAGAATGAGTGTTCTAGTTGCCACGCCCTAGTCTAAACTTAATTTTAAAAAATAGTGTCACTTCTTTTTTTTTTTTTTAATACTAAAAACATGCGTTAAACTTTAAATGGCATACAGGGGGAGGATCCCTCATCATTCTCCAACTCTTGTAGTAGTGTTGGAGGATAATCAATGACACAAAAATTCTTATCAAAAGTGTCAGAGAATTTAGATAATCTATCAGCCAGTACATTTTCCTCCCCGAAATATGAGAGAAATCAAGTTCCAGTCTCCATACAACAGCATTCTTTTGTCGGCAATAATGTCCTAAAAGGAGTGGTTATCAGTTATCACTGCATCCCCATGTTATCAGATTAAATAGCTTCACCATTGCAAAATACATGCCCTACCTTATTCCTACCAGCTAAGTTGATCCCAAATGGCTAAAATATACAGTATTTTGAAATCATCCCAAGGCTTGCTCAAGTGATCATAATTGTACAATGGAGTATAAAAAAAGATCAAAAGTTTAAACCCTCCTAGTATACCAAGAAAAAAACACCATTTCTTGAAACAAAAAAGAAACACTATTTCATCTCTCTCTCTCTCTCTCTCTCTCTCTCTCTAAAATAGTCATAATAATATAATTTTAATATTTTTATCTTAATTTTTTATATAATGTAATGGGTAATTAACATACACTTGAATGGTATAAAAAATAAAGAATATGCTCCCAAAATAATTTTCTAAAATTAACTAATATTTCAAAAAAAATTAATAAATTTTTGAGTAAGTTAACTAAATAATTTTGTTCACATTAAAAATAATATTAAATTATTTAAAAGTATATAATTGGTTTTGATTTTTTTTTCTAGAAAATTAATTATTCTGTCCTTATAACTTTGATTCAATTGTAACTTAATCCCTGAATTTTGACTCGTTATGAATTAGTTTTTAAAATTTTGACTCAGTTATAATTCAGTCCCTAAACCTTCCTTCTTACAATTTAGTCCTTGTAGTTTTAACTACTTAAATATCGATCCCTATATTTTAAAAAATAAAATTATACAAATTAAAATTATGTTAAAATTTATTACTAATATTTGAAATTACTAAACCCTTTTAATCTTTATAAATATTACAATTTTAAAATATTTTTAATATTTTTAATTTTATTTTTAAAATATAGGGATCAATATTTAAATAGTTGAAACTATAGGAACTAAATTATAAGAAGTAAAATTTAAAGACTGAATTACAATCGAGTCAAAACTTTAAAAATTAAATTATAATGAGTTAAAATTTAAAGATTGAGTTATAACTGAATTAAAATTATAAAGACAAAATATTTTTTTTTTTTCCTTTTCCTTTTGGCATTGAGACGGAGTCAAGGAGGGCTAAAGCGTAACTAGGCCATAGTAACAGTAGAAGGGATTGTCATCCCAATAACGAGTTAGGTCTTTCAACACCAGTGAGTTTGACCACATGGGCCCCAATCCTTAATGGGCCAAACCAAAACCGGGCCATCATGATGTCAAACAAGGCCATCTTCACCTCGGTATCTGGACTGGACCTCGGATTCCATAATTAAGTTCTAATTTTATTATGCGTACATTTAAAAGTAAAAATTGTAACTTAAATTCCTTTAAAATTTAGTATAAACATATATAAACACAAAATTAATAAATGATAAAATAATAAAAAATATTTTACCTCAAAATGAATAAAAAATTATATAAAATTATTAGGAATAAAGGACTGAAAAAATATCTTATAAAATTAAAAAAATCAAACTAAAATTTTATATAAAATGATAGAGATGAATGAAAGAAGACAGGGAAAGAAAAACACGGAGAGAGATAATGAAAGAACAGTTGGCAGCTAAGAGGTGCATTTTGTTTCCTTAACTACAAACACATCATTGGTAAATGAAAATAACAATGCTTTTTCAAGTCATGATAATGCTCATTTGTTGCTTTCTTGGAGTCATAAATAATCATTTTTTTATTTTTCGTTCGTACCATTCGAGTTTTAAAACTGAAGATATTGGATGATAAACATCTATTAACTCACACTATCATCACGAAGATAGTAATTTTTTTTTTTTTCAAACAGGAGAGAACTTCCAAGAAAGCAATGATGTAATGCAGGAGAAGGACAGTTCTATTCTATTGGAAAATGAGACCAATTTATTTTAATAATAAATTAAGCTCAAAATCAAAGACCTTAAATAATAATTTGTAATTTGGCCATCCAAGAGTTTAATAATTGAAAAATGAGCCTCTAAGGTTGAGTTTACATTGCCACTTTACCTACCACAGCTGCTGCAATCATTGCCTTCAAAAATTCATTCTCTTATATGTTTTCCAATCCACTTTATAGTGACATACACTTCATTATCAAGTTTTCCAATCCCCTTCATTTGACTAATCAATGGATAAACACTTTGATTTACAATATGTTTCTCTGCATTTTACCCGGAAAAAAAAAAATTTGCAGATCATCAACACACGCAATCTGAGTCACTACCACCATTTTTTAAAAAAAAATTATATAATTATTTTTATATATTTATATATTATTTATTCTGCAACAAATTCTTGTTATTAATATTTTAACACTTTAAATTTTAAAATTTACTTGTTTTAATTTGATTGAATAAAAACCTCACTTAATAAGATAAAGCTTCTTCTGTAGTTATTGTAATTTGATTAAATAAAAATATATTAAATATATAAGGTTAGGTATTTAAATCTTTTATCCTTTTTTAATACGTTTTTGGGATGCGTTTTCTAATTTAAAAATAGATCTCTTAAATTTTAAATTTATATGAATACCTAGAGTCTCTCACATTCAAAATAATAAATGTTTCTGATTTTATGTACTTTTAAAATATTAACCTTTAATATTTATTTAGGGTGTTTTTGAATGAAAATTTTTAGAGAGGGAAGGAGAGGTTTTCTTCCCTTATTTGATTAGTGCCTAACAAATGGAGGGGAGGGGAGTCCTCCCCCCAATTTTGGATTTTTTGGAGGGGGAGAGGAAAGAGAAAATAATTAAAACTAATTTAAAAATTATTTTAAAATTTTAAACTACTTTTGATATTAAAAAATTATATATTATCTCTTTTTCTTTCTTATAATAAAAAAATTTTATCATCTTACAAAGATTAGTATATAATTTTCTAATGTATAAAATCTTAATATTTTTTATTAGACTCACTAATAAAATATAATATTAACATTTTTTTTTTCAAAAAAATTTATTAATATAAATTCATATTCTTAAAACAAAAATATAACAAATTACAGTATAATATTTTTTTTCAAAGAAAACAAATAAAAATCAAGTTAAATTTGATAGGAATAAAATTGTTAACTTATTTTTTTCCCCTCCCCTCCCTTCCTATAAAAGTTTATTAAAATTCCTTCCCTCTCCTCCCCTCCATTAAAATCTCTCCTTTTTCTTAAATCAAACACACCCTTAATATATTCAAAGTATGTAATAAAATTCATAAAACAATTACTTAAAAAAAAGTGATGAATATAGCAATGTACTGCTAATGCTATTCATAAAGTACATGTGTGTTTGTGTCTTGCTTATACAAATAACTCATTGAATTTCAATTGTGCATGACATCTTTGATACGTGATGTAATTAAAACTGAAAATTTATACATCATTCCATTCATATACATTATTAAGCCTAATTCTATTCTATGTTAGACTTGCGATATAATTTTAAATTTACCCTCACTTAGCATCCTAATAAAATCTTTACAATTAAACATATAATCTAATAAGAAAATATTTTGGGAGACATGTTCTTTGCATTACATGACATGATCTCTTTCTTAGTTAATATAAGACTAAATTTGGTAGTTGACTTTACCTAAAACAGAAACAAAATACTAGCTAGTGATTAAGTCAGCAAAACAAAGACACAGTAAAAAGAATACAGTAATTACAAAAAAAAAATCCAACAAAAATAATATTGAATTCGACTACCCCTTTAAGCATCAGAGCAACATTATTGTACCACAAATAACACAATTTCATGATAAAAATAGAGTTAAAAAAAATATACGAAACCAACTCCGCAATTATATATATAAAAAATAAAAATATAATTGCGGAGAACCAAACAAAATCAAATAATGAATAAACTATTTTAAAAAGAGAAAAATCATTGACGTAATGATTAAATGGAGTCTTGCCTCTGCAGCTTCATCTCCCGATAGAATCTCTCAATGAACCTCTCAGCCTTCTGATCAACCGACTCATCTCCGTCATCTGAATCCAACGGCTCACACAAGTCCTCTTCCCCATCTCCGGTGGCGGGAACCGACAGATCTTCCTCAAGCTGCCTCTCACCAAATCCGCCATTAAAGCCCTTAACTTCAGCTCTGAAATCACCCAAACACCGAACCAGAAACAGCAAGGAGCATAAATCTCTGTAGTCTACTCTGTTCTTGACGCGCTCTGTTCGATGGAATCGAATGAGGGGGGTGCTCGAAGGCGAGAACTGATACTCACCGTGGAAGCCGTTGTTGTAATGCATGAGAAGCTTGAAGTCCTTGCGTTTCTTGAATCGCTTGAGCAAGAGAAGCTTGGGAATGATGGGTTTTCTGAGTTTGGGGACCAACAGGGGAGTCTTCAAGAGACTCGAGACTTTCTGGAAAAGGAGAGATCTTTTTCTGTGCATTTTTCAGATTACTGAGAATCGATCTCTAGGGTTGGGGGAGAGAGGGAAGCTGGGTGGTCATGAATGAGATAGAAAGAGAGATTTTAAAGGGAAGAAAAAGGTGAAGAGAGAGAAGGAAGATGAGAACGACCATGGCGGAGCCGATCGAGCTGTAAAAGGGTGAGGTCGGTGGCGTTCTTCAGATGGGACCGAATGGGAATATACCGAACTAGCCGTTGGACCCTTTCCCTCTAGACTTTGTGATTTGAATCCGTTTGCTTTTTTAGTTCCCACTTTCTCCTAAAAATTCTTCAACTTTGTTTCCCATCAAATCCATCTTGTGAATCCTATTGACTTCGCAATTAAGTAAGAATATAAGTGCTTGCATGATGATGATATGATAAAATCACATTTTCTGATGAAAATTTTCACTTTCATTTCCTAAAATTGAATCATAGAATGTACTCATTTTCTATCCAAAATATAAATAGTTTGTGAAAAAAGTTCATATACCAATAAAGTCTATATTTCCATAAAAATATATATATTATTTTTTCATTTTACCTCTAGTTTCAATTATCAAAGTATTCTATGATGATGAGTAAAAGATAAATTTACACAAATATTTAAAATAATAAATATAAGGTGTAAAATACAAAAAAAAATAATAATAATACATGTACTAGGTTGCTTATATTTTAAATTGAGATTAATTAAAGGAAAATGCTTATATTTTTGAACTGAAGAGAGTATTAATTTTTGTATAATTATATTTATTTACCTTAAGTAATTTTATTTATATCACTTTTATCACAATAAATAAAGTTAAATATAAATTTTACTGATATAAAAATGATAATATTTTTAGCTTAGAATAAATAAAATGTATAGTTTTCAATCTAGATGAAAAAATTTCAAACAAAAAGTTTAAAATTATTCCATAATTTATTAAAATAATTAACTAAAAATATTTCAATTAAGAGTTTCCTTTCAAAAACCCTCACCTTTGGAGGGAGAGGAATCTCTATTACAAGTTTGAGTCAGACTAGGGGAGGGGAAGAGTTGCACCATTCTATTTCCTTGAGATAGTATTTCGATCAAGGGATTTGAATTTTAGATTTTAAATCTATATATTTAAAATAATTTATTTGTATAGTTTAAAAATTTTCAAATGAATAAGAGATAAGTAAAGAGTTGAGATTCAAAGCAAAAGTGAAAAATTAAGAGTGATGAATTTATCTTTATTTTTTCAGTCAATAATAGATGAGAACAAGAGATAAAAGAATATCTGAGAATGACTGACACTACTATCAAATAGTACCAAAATTATAAAAAAAATTTTGCAGTATAGCGCAACCTAGGTCATCTCCCTAAGAGTTAATAGAGTAACTATTTGAATTATGATTATGAAAAGGTAAATAATGGAGGTTTTTTATGATGAAATTAAAACTAAATTAGAATTAAATAAATAGAGAAAATTCAACTAAAAAAATTATCAAGTACAAACAGCGCAATCAATCATAACCCAATCACCTAAATTTAATCTTCCTCATTCATAAAATAAATTAATTTTATTTAACTTTATTATTCTTGCTTCATTATATATTTTTTAAATTATTATTCAGGAATTAAACAATAAATTAAGTTACAGATTAATTGAGATCTCCCTCAACCCACAACCTAACAATTGTTCTAAGTTAGCCACACTAAAAATAAAGTATGAATAATCACTCAAGCTAGGCCAAATTACTCTAGTATTACTATATCAATTGATTATAGTAAGTAAAATTTCAGATAAAATTTATAACCCAAAAATTATGCAGTAAAACTATTCTAATCAGCAATAGCAGTTAAAGCATAAAATTCAGAGGTAAAAAAAAGAAGAGTAAATTGAATTAAAGTTAGAATAAAATATTTTCCGAATATCAAAGAATCTGATTAAAATTTAAGATCATAGTTTATGATTGATCATATCAAAAAAATTTAACTATTCATAAAACTGAAAATCAAGCAACATGAGATGAGAATAGGTGAGGCTATCACCTATATTGAAGAAAAGAAGAATAGCGATCGTTTATGTGGATTCTTTCGCTCACGTCGCCAATGTTTTTCTCCTTTTCAATCCCGTAAAAGTTGTTCATTCCTTAGTTCTCTTCCCCCCATCATGCGTCTATTCCTCCCTTTTATATATATATATATATATATGAATGATTGCGTCACCCAAAACAAATAAAACCTAATAATTTATTAAAATGGTAAAATTACCTTGAGTAACCCTAATTAAAAACTACACTAAAAAACTCAAATATATATAAACAAGGTTTTAAATATTTAATTCTTGATTTAATCTCTAAGCATGCCCATATTCTTCTTATTCAAAATATTCTCCATCAAAATCTTTCAAATTGAATCTAGAAAATCTACACAAATAAGATAAAATTAAATAACAACTGTGCAAAAATATTAAAGATATTATTTATATTTTAAAACCACAGATTTAGATAGTTAAAATCTAAAAAATGAAGATTGACTAATAAAATCAAATAATATCTAATTAAACTTAATTAATGAAGATTGACTAATAAAATCAAATAATATTTAATTAAACTTAATTAGCTTCAAATAAATATTTAAAATTCTAAATTAAAAGGATAAAAAAATATAAAATTGCTATTTATCAATTCTCCTGCACTTAGACTTTGCACTCCTGGGCAAAATTTAAATATCAAATTTCAAGAAAAGAAATGTAGAAGCAACAAAGAATAAAAATAATTATAGCTCTTTAGCACTTTAACACTCTAATCAATCTCTCTTATATCTAAAATAACAAGTATCCTGTCAATTTCATTTGGTAGGAATAAATTAAGCAATAGCTCCTCACAAAGGTCAAGTATTTAATTCTCAACTCTCAAATTTATATGGGTAAGTGTTTCACTCAAGTTTTCCTATTAAAACCTCACTACCATAGGCTTGTTTATCATCTAGGTCTCCACTATCTATGTCATACGCAATGCAAGAATCAATAGGACTTTATTTTAGGTTGTAATGGGGCTTAGGTAAAGGTATGGTATAGAAAAATGAAGGCTGATAAATTTTAAGAGAATGAAAAGCATATTTGAAACGAAACATATAGAATGAAAGAAACAAAATAAATTAATTTGGGTTTATTTTTCTCTCTTTATTTTGTTTTCATTTCCTTTGCTTCATGCATCTTTTTTTTCTAATTTTTTTTTGGCCTTTTATGCTCTTTCTTTTCTTTTCTTTTTTTCTTTCTTTCCTTGCTTTTTGGCTCTCTCTTGTTTTTGTTTTCCAAAATAACCCAAATCTCCCTTTAAGTATATTTTTTCATTCCAACAAATATTACACTTTTCATTACCTAAAGTGGGGTGAGAAAAATGAAGAAAATTTTTTTTCTTATAGGCTATGTTTTCAGTTGGCTAAAATTTAAAAAAAAAAATGTCTAGGCTCAAATGGGCTAACAAGGGATAAATTACATAGAATGGCTATTTGGCTAAGTAGGCTGAAAGAAAAGAATGCCTAATCATCTTCATGCAAAGTATATGCAGTTATAGTCTTAACTAAGAATCAAGACAAGTTCTAGAGTGAGAGTAGTGTTAGGAGAATACACACAAGAAGAGAATAATATTAGGTCTAAATCCTCACAAGCTAAAAACTATCACATTAATCCATTGAAACCAAAATCATTATCACTTAACTTGAATTTTAAATATAAGATCAATTACTTATCATGCTCAAATGCATCCAAACTAAAATTGTCCTCAACTTACAACTTTGCACAAGTTCTTTTTTTTTCAAGAAAACAAGAGCACAAAAATAACAAAAATGGAAACAAGAAAAAAAAGAAAAAAATTAGAAAAAACAAAATAGCAAAAAACCTCCTTCCACACTTAAAATCTACAGTGTCCTCAATATAGAACATAGTCTAAAAGATGTATAAAAAAATGTAAATTAAAAGTGAAGAGAAGAGATACAACCTGATTAATTAAGTGTTATCTTGGAGAGAAAACTCCTCCACAATGTGTGTCTTGAATCCATCATGAAAATGCTTTAACCGGTGCTCGTTAACTTTAAACTTTGCTCCAGCAAACTCTGTCATAATCTCTACTCCACCATAAGAAAACACTTGAGTAACTATGAAAGGACCTTTCCATCTAGAACGAAGTTTTCCTAGCATAAGTTTCAATCTGGCATTATAGAGCAATACTTTTTGTCCTACTTTGAACTCTTTTCTAACTATCAGCTTATCATACATCAACTTGGTCTTTTCCTTGTAGATTCTTGAATTTTCATATGCTTCCAAGTGAAATTCTTCAAGCTCTTGCAATTGATATTTTCTTTGAGCTCTTGCTTTAGTCAAATCCATGTTAAATTACTTCACTGCCCAATAAGCTTTATGCTCAACCTCCACAGGTAAGTGACATGCTTTCCTAAAAACAAGCCGATAAGGAGACATTCTAATCAAAGTCTTGTAGGCAATTCTATATGCCCACAATACATCATCAAGTCTCTTACTCCAGTCCTTCCTATTGGGTTGCACTGTCTTCTCAAGAATCTGCTTTATCTCTTGGTTAAAAACTTCAGCTTGCCTATTAGTTTGGGGGTGATAAGGGGCAGCCATCTTATGCATGACCCCATACTTACCCAACAAACTCTGCATGCTCCGATTACGAAAATGGGTCCCTTGGTCACTAATAATGGCCTTTGGAATACCAAACCTGCAAAAGATATGTGACCTAAACAAAATCTACAACAACAGCAGAGTCATTAGTTTTGGTGGCTTTAGCTTTCACCCACTTAGAAAGATAATCAACAGCTAATAAAATGTAAGCAAATTCAAATGAAATAAGAAAAGGTCCCATGAAATCAATACCCCATACATCAAATATTTCACAAAAAAGTAAAGGTTGTTGAGGCATCTCATTTTTATGGGAGATATTTCCTGTATGCTAACATATAGCACAATGCTTACAAAATGTATATGCATCATGGAATAGAGTAGGCCAATACAATCTAGAATTAAGAACCTTTCTAGTAGTGAGTTATGGACCAAAGTGTCCTCCACAAGCAAGTGTGTGACAAAAATGCAATATGGATTCAAATTTAGTGTCAGGAATACATCTCCTAATAATCTAGTCACTACATATGTGCTAAAGGTATGGATCATCCCAAATGTAATATTTAGCTTCCTTTTTAAACTTATCTAATTGATGTTTCTTTAAATG